TATAAGCAATAAGAAAAATAAATAGCCCTAATCATAATATCTATTTCAAAATATTAATTTCAAAGTATGAACATCTACCTTTATAATAGAGAAACGCTATATTTTGATTACCTTTAATAATAACATGAAAACATGCAAGATATATGTACCTGCCATATAATAACCTGTATGGCGAATAAAGTAATAATAATTGCGAATAATGTTTTTTTTTGTATACGTAGTATAAAATTAATGAACACAGAAAAAAAAACATACATCGTGTGAATTTTTGTTAATATTTTTTTTAGAAAAACAAAATGACCTCCCGATTTTCTATGTTTTCGTTGTGCCTTATACACGAGTATATGATGCTAGAAACAATGAAGTTATAAGTAAATCTCGACCTAAAGCAGTCATAGAAATAATGAGCAAAAATGACAATAAAAAAAATATGTATTTAAATTTTTAGAAGGCGGGACTATCCAATTTTCGATTTTAAAAATTGTTTGTGCTTAACAATAAAAAATTTAATCGATTTGTAAAATATCAGAGCATGATTGGCAGTTTGACATAAAAATTGGGAATTGGGCAAAAAACAAAGATGAAATGAATAGTAACCAAATATAGCATTTAAAAAGTTTTCTAGTAGGTTCAGGAATGTGATTAAAACATTTTTAAAGATAGCTGGTACAAAGACTTTTACTAATTCACAAATTTATAGTAGGGTCGACCTTGGGGTATCCTCATCTGGTGTAGTGAGAACCGAACTCATAGGGAAATGTGTTGATACTCTTAGCTCCTTTTATGGGTCCCAAAGACAACGGCTCTACGCGCGTTAAACTGTCCACACTTGGCCGTCCAGATTTGATTTTACAGTTTGTATTTGTATCTAATATTCGTCTTTTTTCTTTAGGTTAGACTCGAACAAGTGCATTTCTCTGCAAAAAGAGTTCGTTCAATGTGAATTGCCCATACATAAATTAGAAATCTTTTCCTTACAAAACGTAAAAAAAAATATTAAAAAGATTGAATAAATAAAACTTATGAAATTTTACAGCTATTTTGCATGTTAGGTGGCATGTTAGATAAGAAATGTAACAAAACACGAGATAAGCAGAAAAAGATGAAAAAAAGCATGCAAATGGAAATTGAATCAAGAAGTTTCATAAAGGCCATCTGTAATCTACAATTCTGAAACAAATTCAAACAAATATAATGGATTCTACATTAGAAAAAGTTTTATACAATTACTATCGATATAAAAACAACAATAACAGTTTACAGTTTAGTTTTTTTATCTTTCAATTCTAGTGTTGTTTTTTTTTTTTGTTTTGGCGCGGTAAAATTCATAGCGGAATATTAGGCAAAAGTCTTCTTATTCTGCATATCAGATCAATCTATCTTCCTTTTTTTTCTTTTAATAGTATCTGCTTTTGTGTTGTTGTTATTTCAGATGCTGGAGATATATATATATATATAGGTATATATATTTGTTTAAGTAATTGCATGATATTTGAAGATTTGTTTGATTATTAATAACTTTTTTTTTCATCCGCTACTATTTTGTATTTAGGTGGGTATATCTTTATATATAAATTAGTCAAAGCAGATATTTTAGAGTTATGTGTGTACGTATACGGATTGAGTGTAGTAGGAGGAGCGTGAGGAAGAACATGACTAGATATTGCGTTGGATGGCACACCTCTTCCTTTTAGTTAGAGCCCTTTCGTCCAATGTGGTAGGATTCAAGTTATTGGAGGAATGCATCAGTGTTGTTGGTGTTTTGACTGAGCATAACTACTGAACATAATTACTGTAGACAGAACTGTCGTCTTCGTAAAAGTGATCGGAGGGCGATTCAAAGTGGAGTTTTCCGTATCTTTCCCATTAAAAAAATTTAATAATTCATTTTTGGTTATAGGTTGGTAACAATCTGCATAGGATGTGCCAAATGAAGGGCTAGATGTGCCAAATCCTTTTGAAACAAATGTTGTATACATAAATCTGATCTGATTGCAATACGCATACTTCTATGCATAAAAGTTTAAATGTATTGTGTGAAATATAGTGAAAATATGTATGTTTTTTTCACCCAGTTACTTTAAAATACAAAATAATTTCGTATTTAATTATCAGAAAGAAGGTGCACAAGTAGAGTGAATGAAATATGATTAACTGTATTTAAGTGCCTTCTTTTTGTGTAATATTATGATTCGCCATTTATGTCGCGCCTATTCAAAACTAAAGCGTATCGATTCAATCGCTTTGAAATTGTATATTTAAAATGTCCATTGTCTTCATATATACACATTATATGATTTAAGTCTATTTTTAGTCAAAATTTCCATTATTTGTTTATTACATAGAGATAACATTCACCGTACTTATACTTATATGCAATGAACTAAATTGCTAAATATGGTTTGAAAAAATTATGTATAAATAGAGTGGGCTTTTTTGTAATGTAACCAATTACAAATAATTTTTAATAAGATAAAATGTGTGTGACAAATTGCAGAGAGATCTGTTATAAACCTTTTGAATACATTTTTAAGCGTCTTACAACTAAATTTTAAAATATTTCTAATAAGTGCAATTATTTTCTTCTCAATCAATTGATATCGGTTGACAACTAATATAAGAATTTAATTACCTACGAAATTGACAATACGCACAATGAAAATAATTACATTTTAGTAACATCAACAACAGGTAGTGTTCAAAATAATTTTATTTATTAAAAATCAATAAATTTAAAAAAAAAAGCAAAATAAATTTTCAATGGATTTATTTTTTGTAATTATGTTGTGCCATTCAAAATTTTACTACCGACGCCGCTATTGTTTGTCGCAGTCACATCGATATAACTACGAACTTGGTACTAACACTAATGTTTTGATACAATTTTTTCCTAAATTGTACAACAATATTGTTTTTATTTTTCCTACATATTCACTTTAAAATGCAAGTGTATGATAGTTTTTGTAAAATGTTTGTCAATCTAAAAATAAACTTAAGAATAAAGAATAAAGTTTTTTGAATAAGTGTACTTAATCGTATGGGCTACACTTGAAATAAAATAAATGCATTTAAAATGCCATATGCTGCTCTAATCATATTTTATGATTATAAGGATTTTATATTTTAGTGTTACCCGACCGACTACACTCAAGTCAACCTAAAAATTTTGTTTACATGGCTTGAAATGTAATAGCTTAACGTTATTTTGGACTTTTAAACTGCCATGCATAGTACAAAACACAGTTTCAGTTTCGAGCTGATTTTAATAGAAGTATTCAAGCTGCCATATAAACGAGGTAATTGTCACAGAATAAAGTTAAATAAAGTTGCAGAATCAAATCACATTTTTTTTTACAAATTCTCGTCATTTCTTCTGTATTAGCTATTTCGTTTTTTTTCTCAATTATTCAATAGTTATTTTGCAATCTTCTTGTGATGTTTGGAAAAGTATAAATGTAACAAGAATTTAATTGCGATATTATTTTCTTTTTTTTATTATTTTTAGTTCAACTGGAGAACAACAACACCTGTTCATTGAAATTAATGTTAATTCACATGTACTCTTTAAATGTTAAAAATAAAATTAATTCAGATTTTTTCTTCTTCTATTATTATTTGTGCATACAATAATTTTTCACAATTGTAAATTCTTTTTTGCCTGTTTTGGTTTGATTAAAGTTATATATGTGTGTATGGTTGTAGTTTATCTTTGTTAAAAGAGTTTACAACAAAATTGACTTTGACGTTGATGCATTATGTTGTATAGGGTATACAATAGACAAAGATGAATTTAATTTTTTTATAGTTTAGATTTATACAAGACAAGATCGCATATACATAAGTAAATTCAAAGTAGGTAAGACTATGATGAAATACTAATCTGAATAATAAGATTTTTGATTACTTCTTTTATACATATGTAGTTTATTTTATTGTAGATTACTGGAAATTGAAAATCTAATTGTTGTTACGGTAAGCATCCAAAAATGGTATTACCTCACACTGCACTATATTGGCAATTGAAAATATCAGCAATAAGAATATATAAGATGACAAGTAAAATAAGACGGAATATAGGAATGGCCAGTCTGAGATGGTCAGTCAGTTTGCATGTATGTTAAGATATAACATAAATGATATAACAAATTCATAGACTCGAGAAAATTCTTCTAATGTTGAATCCTTGGAGTACTTAGAAAATCTTTTGGCTTTAAATGAAAATATTCTCAAAAAAAATTAAAAGGGACAATAACAACTATAAAATCAAATTCACAATTATAATTGAAAAAATTTTTATTTACTTTTATTATTTGTTTTTGTATTTTGGCTTAAAATTAGCAAAAAAAAAAATAAAATAAAATATGTTTGTCGACTTGTTCTCTTAAAATTAAAGCTCTATAATATTTTGAATATATTATTTTTATTACATTATTTAAATTATATTAATTAAGCAAGAGAATTCTTAAATTTTATTTGTTTTTCAATTTTACTAATGATAATTTTAGTTACAAATTTTTTTTGTGCGGTTTATAATGCGTGTAAAGTTCAAATTTTTATAAACAAATCGCTATATATTGTTGCCCATAAACAAATTTTTTATTTCATTGTCAGAATTTTATTCTACAAATGTGTAGAGTATTGCATATTTTGAAATTTAAAGAGTATCAAAAATGTGGTTCTTGTCAAAAAATTAACAAAAATAAAAAAATTTATTATTTTTCTTTGAACTTTTTCTTTTAATTTATAAATTTTTTTTAGCAATTTTGTGCTTTTATTGAAATCATCTTCATTATAATTTGTGAATAATTAATAGAAAAAAGTTTATAAATAAAAGTGTTAAATTTATTTTATTAACTTATTAAAGACTCAAACCGAAATGTTATTATTCTTTCGAATAATTTCTTAATTTAAATTAATTATAAAATAAAATTATTTTTAAAATTTTTATTTATAAATTTACAAATATTTACAAAATTTTTTTAACTAGACAAAAATGTATTCTTATTTTTATGTTTAATTTTTTATTTTACAAATTGGACAAGATTATCTTAACAGTCCGCTTATCAAATACAAAAACCTACTAAAATCTACAATGTTTAATAATAGTATGTACAATAAAAATTTTATTTTAATTTTCTATAGAGAAATTTTTAATTGCTATAACAAGTTTTTCTAACACCCGCTAATATATTACTTATATCTTCATCATCACGTCGCATTGTATCGCTTGCTTCATAACTAATCGGATATATATTTGTTCCAGGATGTGTTGAATTAATTGGACCACCAATCATAGCATCCATTTTGGCTAAAGATTGTTGTCCAATTGGTGGTAAACTACCTAATGGTGATTGATTACTATGATTATATGCTTGATAATAATCTTGATGTGGATGATTTGGATGTGTATTAGATGTTGCATATGCAGGTATACCAGAAAAATGTGTTGATGTTGCTAAATTACCAGTAGCTGAAATCATTGCTTGTTGATGATGATACAACTGATTGTTATGATATTCATATTCGTTAAAATTATGATTAGAATCTGGATATTTCATATATTTATCTAAATCTCTTGGATCCATTTCCTCGGCAGTCGGATGTGGTGGTAACATATGCGGTTGGTATGTACTATATTGATATGGATATGTAGCAAGTGGTGCTGACACTATACCACTGCCACCACTACTACCACCTCCGCCTGGACCACTTATATTTGCAGAAGATGATTGCATATAAAAATTATCTAATTGATTATCACTGCTCGCGTTACCAGCATTATTACCATTTGAAGAATTTTGCTTACTACCCATTGCAAGAACTGAATTGTTATTAGATGAACTGGAATGTTGGTTCGAGTATTGTAATGAAGCTGATGTTGGTGGTAAACTTATTGTACCTAAATTTTGATGATCTTGTGGTGTTGGTAATGGTGGATAATATGTCCCTCGGACTATATGTCCATGATCAAGAATACCACGATTACTACAAGTAACATACATATTCTTACCAGCTACAATAGTTGTTGCATTTGTTGTTGCATGTAATGCTAAATAATTACGTTTATCTGCAGTATTTGAATTGAAACCATTAGAAGTTGTTGTATCATAACTGTAACGTTTGTTTTCTCCATATTTATCACTTGAATTTGGATTATATTGCTGATTATTTCCATATTCATTACGTTTATGTGCTTCTAATTCATTTTTAATATAATTTGAACCATAATTTTGTGACTGCTGCATTTTTTCAGCTTTTAATTGACTATAATCTACAAAGGCTGCCGTACTATGTAATTTAGATTTATCACCGTGATTATTTATACCACCACCACCACCACCACCGCTAATATAATTATCTTTTTCCATTTCTAATGGGCTCATTTCTGGTGTTGGTAATGCTGAGACATCTTGTAATTTTGAATTAATATCATTACATTTACGTGGTTCTGGACTTTGGGTTGGACTTGATTCCGGTGTATGCATTGAATTATTAGAATTATAATAACCATTATATGAATATGGACTTAATCGATTCGATGATGTATCATTATCATATGATGACATATCACCAGAATTATTTGACGATTGAGTATTAGACTGTTGTTGTGTTTGTTGTTGTTGTTGTTGTTGTTGGCTAGATTGTTGATGACTTTGATTTGATTGTTGTTGTCCAGTTGCACTACTATTACTATTACCATTACCATTTGGTAAAGCTCTAGCTTTTGTATGTTTTCTTCGACGTGGTCGATATTTATAATTTGGATGTTCCGTCATATGAATAACTCTCAAACGTTCAGCTTCTTCTACATATGGGCGGCGATCTTGTGGTGTTAGAGAGCGCCATTTTTTACCTGAAAATATAAAATTGGAAAATTTTGTTAAAATTTTAATAAATTTTAATTGTATCTTAAAATCTAAATTATATTTAAATAAGGGAAAAAAAAGTAATATTAAAAAAGTAATCAAAAATTTTTAAATGACAAAGAAAAAAATATCTGACCGGTCAAATATTTCAAGTTTTTAAGTGGTTTTTATTATTATTATTATTTTATATATAAGAAAAAAGTATGTTACGAAATGTGTAATAACTTTCCGAAAAATTAAAAAAAAACAAATAAATTATTATTCAATGTAAGTATTTTTAAATAAATTCCCGATTTGAATTACAATTTAAAAATAAAAAATATAATTTTTATTTATTCATCCCAAGAAGGGACGATGACACATAATTATAATATTAAAAAAGTTACAGTGTACTGACATGAAGGTACTCACTTGCATGCCACTTATAGAATAAATAATTTTTAAAAATTTTATATTTTCATTTTATAAATTAATTTTTTTTTGTAATTTATTGATTATTTGAAAGAATCGATTAAAAAATTATTTTCTTCACAGGTAATTAAATTTCAGAAATGTGAAAGAATTTGGTGAAATTCTTTAGGAAGAAGTCATTTTTGTATTTTCCATACACTTGACAGTAAGCAACATTCTCTTTCAATATCGTTATATTGCGTGTGTTTGTACTTTACTGTAGATTATACAGTAAATTTGAGAGAGAATGAAAGAATTTTTGTTTCCGTCATGTTGTTGGAATTCTCTTATGTTATGTGTAATTTAAAATGTTGTTGTCACATTATTTAAAATGATAAACCAAATTTTTATTTTAGGAGCAATTCAGTGGTATAGTCTGTGAGAGCTGACAGTATAATAAGAGCATAGCTATAAAGCGCATTAGTTATTGTTATTAAAAACAGAATTATTGGGAGAACAATTCTTCTGGTAAAAGAATCAACTGTTAGACCAGTGAGTCAAAATTATGAAAATATGTACATCAAATCAAATCAATAAATTTGCATAAATAGCTTACGATTATGGATTGAACCCGACTGTCTTTCGGATAACATCGAAAGTAATTAAGCTTTATCTCAAAAACCATTCAATTTATAGCACTACCGTGCAATAGATGAATATAGTACATAATATTGTATCTATGTCGTTAAAAAAAAGTTGCTTAAGCCTTTATGGTCCATTTCTATCCGAAAAAAAGGCTTGTTGTATAATACAAATGAAATTCCACACAAGACAGTAGAGTAAAAAAGCACTATTTGGTCACTATTTTAATTACATTACCAGTACGTCTGAGTCTGATTTTTAACTTTTCGTACGGATACCATCAAGTTGACATGATCAACTATATCAATTCTCGTTTGGTAATAATGAATATTACCATTGAATTTTACAAATAAATAAAAACATCTTCAATGATTAACCATTTTTTTAATAAAATTTATTTTAATACGAAATTAATGCAAATTACATAAATACAAAAATAAGCAAAACTAACAAAAACACCATGCAACAACTAGGTCAAAATCATTCATCCCTTAAAAGGTGAGCATGAAAATTAATACAAATATAGAAAAAAAAAATTGACAATTTTTTATAAAAAAACTCATCATTCACTTTGCAAAAAATACAAACAAATCTGAAATTTCTAATTTAGATTATGTAAAGGCAGGAGAAGCTATATAAAGTCTATTATGTTTGTAAAGTGTAAACAATACAATGTCTACATATAATTCCAGAAATAACAATGATCCCATTTACCTTGTTCATAAATAAAATAATAGGAGTAATAAAATAAAAATTCGTGTATGTAAGATTGTATTTGTGAAAAGTACAGCGCAACGTACTTATAGCAGAGAAATGCACTTTTAATTTGATTTGGTATGCATGCGTATGTGTGCTGAATACTATATTATGAACATTTAAATTAAGTACATGTAAAATTTGAACTATATTTGGTAAGGTATAAGTGATTAGTGTTGGAAAGTTGATTTAAAAATGTGTAAGTTTGATACTTAAAATTGATTATGTTTTAAAAATAATGACAATGATTTGTTGATGAATTAATTGCAATTCCTTACATAAGGCCATACAATTTAATCAATGACATATAATGTTATTAATACAAGAATGCAGTTAAATTTTGTAAAATTTATTGTTCTTTAAAATTTGCAGTCTCAATAATATTCTTAAAAATCCAACTAAAAAATAAATGATAAAAAACCCCAAATTACACGTGAATGAATAAAAATTATTGTTAAACATTTCTCAAGCTTTCATTTAAATAACAATGAGTTGAAAATAATTTGTGATTTTAGAGAGAAAAATAATTAAAATATTTAATTTATAATATGGTGAATATTTAAAAAAATTTTAATATTTTAATGACCCATGTGCCTTTTTTTATGAATATTAAATATTTTGATTTTTAATGAATATTTTCTTAGTGGAATAAATTGCTTGTATAATAAAGAACACGATCGAATTCGGGTAGATTCTGAATAATAAAATTGAGTTCAATATCAATAAAATACGTTCCACCTATAACGGCAACACTTTCCTTCATTAATATTTTAGTGTCGATCAACATTAAGGCAAATAATTTTCTGTAGCTATTCTGAATTTTGGTAGCTGTAGTTTCGATTCGAATAATACGATTTTTTGAATGTATCAATCAATAGTGTTGAAAATAAAAATTTTCGATGAATTTTTTTCATCGAAGAGCGTTTAACTATGCTCACTAGTTAAAATATTTAAGTGAAAACTAGATAATGGTTATAATGTGCACAATTTATAATAAAAGATCTTTAAATTAACTATGTAATTCAAGAAAGGAAAATTAACAAGCAGAAAAAGCAAAAATTCATTCAACCCATATTCATCACATATTCACCACATACTCACCACATACACTTTATAAATTGTTTTCTCGCTTAATGTTCCTAATATCAACCATTTCTTTGCATATCATTTCTCATTATCAAAAATCATCGCAAGATTTCAACTTTATGATTAAAAAGGAAATTATCATAAAAACAATAAAAAAATAAATAAATTATTAACTGAGCCACTCATTACGAATGAATTGAACGACGACTCATGTTTAGATTCAAGAAAAAAAAGAAACCATAAAAACCAAAAAAAAAAAACTCAAAAAAAAAAATTTGCTGACAGACAGGTGTGTGTACGTGTTATTTTAATAATAGTCTCCCCATTTCATTAAATATGGTGTTATATTTTGTACGTGTCGTCTTAATATTAAATTTTCGAGAACCCAACACGAAGCTCGTTTTAACCTAAAAGTGTATGTCGTGTATGTGATATCTAGTAAATATCTAAGCATATATAAAGATATAAATCTTGGGTGATATTAAAAGTACCAAAGAGAAAACTTTCATAAAATTGTGAAAACGGATTACCATGGAAAAAAGATAAGATAAAAACAAAAAAACAAAAAATGATTTTATCTTGTATATATGTTTTTGTAATTTCACTTTATTTTGTTTTTGTTGTACTTTATGATTAATATGAAAATTTTATTCACACACAAACACACATTGCCACTTTTGCTGTCATTTATACGAGCGAATATAAACACATGCATTATTATATGCACATTTGTGTGTCTCCTAATTGCAGTAATTGCAGAGCCCGCTCTATATAATTGTAAGGTTGCTTTCGTTCTTATTTTACAGTCTGTGATTTTATTTCTTTTCTGTTTTTTTAAGGTGGCATATTAATTTTTAAAATAACACTTTAAAATTGTTATTCACTGTTATTAAAATACACTATATGAGTCATTCTTCATATTGTATGGTGAGTCTTGTAAAAATTGTATCTTGTTTTAACTGAATAAACACTCATTGAGGAAAATACAACATCGCAATCGAAAAAGTGAGGTAATATAAGTGAGTTTACTAGTCTTATTTTAGTTATTTGTGACAAGACCTAAAACAGTTTCTAAAGAACTCGTAAGTTCATGTATATCTTGAATGAGAAAAGTTTACATATGGTCGTGCCAATCGGACTTGTTGTTGATAATTACCCCCAAGTTTCTAACCCTTGCTGAAAATATAATAACAGTACCATTTAGAATCTTGGAAGTATCAATATGCCTATTGTAGGCAATTAAAGCCTGGGTTGCCGAAGCGTTGAACAATAATCCATTCTCACTAGAACAAAAACTAACAGCATGAAATAGGAAACTTGGAAGTATCCACATAACTATTGTAGGCAATAAAAGCCTGGGTTGCCAAGGCGTTGAGCAATAATCCACTCTTACTATCCTAAAAACTAACAACATCCAGGTCCGCGTTCATTAAACCAATACTATAATGCAATTCTGCATAAATTTGGCAACCAGCATAGTTAAGGCATTTACCGAGGTTATTGATAAATGGGCAGAATAGAAGAGGACCCCAAATATTGCCTCGCGGTATTCAAGATGTTATTGGTAGTATCGACGAATCCTCGTTACACAGTGACACATATCTTTATATATAATGACATATATCTATAAATTTTGCGCTGGGAACAAGTTGAAAAGTTAAAATAAACTTCAAGTTTGTGACAAAGCAAAATATGATCAAATATTAAAATATGATCATTGTCAAAAGCCATTGAAAAGTCAAGTAGGGTAAGAATAGTCGCTCGTGAAGCATCCGAGCTAATTGAAATTTTATCAGTCAAATCAACCAGTGCAGTAGCAGTACAATATCCTTTACAGAACCCTGACTGAAAATAGAACAAGAGGCCATTTCTGTGTACAAAAGCACTGATTTGATTGTGGAAGCTTTTGAAAGTGCGGCTAGGATTTGCAGATCATTTAAAGCAGAATCATTCTTCTTAGGAATAGGGAAAATTTTAGCACATTTCTAACTAAAAGGAAAAGCAAAGGTATGGTATTGAATAAATGCGTAACAACATCTTGATAAATTTTATAGGTATATGGTCATAACGAAGCGAATTGAACTTTACAATGTAGATAGGATTCCTCCAGGTC